ATGCTGGAGTATATACTTGTAATGCATCAATTAATGGATCTAATAGTGTATGATCTGATTCAAAGCCTTTGTGTATAAAAGGTACATATTCATGCTATAAATCTGCCGTTAGTTTTTGGTTTTGTAGGTCCGGTTTCTTTTAATCAGAACCCTGATAGCTTCACAGACCTATCACTGGGATATAGTGCAACAATACAGTGCATAAATCTCTCATCACTTAATGGAATTACTATAAGATCGATACAATGGACTGATTCAGATGGTTCTATTGTCAGTAACAATAATACACTGATACTACCTAATGTGGTACCATCACTTCATAACACTGAATATACTTGTATTGTAAAAGTGGATACCAATCCAGTGACTTGTTTACCAGACAGCAAGATGATTACGATGTATATTAAAAGTATTGATTAAAAAATTAATTAAGATTTATCCTTCTTTACAATTATTTAAAATTATATTTAGGGACATTTGTGAATTCAATCGTGATGTCTTCTCAGTTATCATTCCTAATCAATTCAACAGTAAAGATTGACTGTATCATTCTTCTTAATACTCCTGTTGGTCCTGGTATACAGCCCAATGTCACTTGGTATCATAACATGACTGATATTACACACTATAGTTCATTAATAAGGGACTTTGACATTCTCTTTACTTCAATACTTACTATTGATTCAATACAAGTATCTGATGCTGGAGTATATCATTGTAGTGCTGGGATTGATTCTAATGTAACTACTAACAATATCAATGTATGTGTAACAGGTAAGGCATTAGACAAAATTACTAATATTTATTTTTGTTTCCAACCAGTTAGTAAGACACTACCACCAGTAACAGAAGAACTATCCCTTGGTCAATATTATTCAATTGATTGTATCACTGGACTAGTACCTACTGGAGTATCAGTATCCTGGCTACTTACTAATGGTTCTATTTATAGTAACAATAATACACTAATGATACCATCAATACTACCATCACATAATAATACACAATATACTTGTACAATAATGATTGAGACTAATCCTTCTGACTGTAGTACTCAAGCACAGGTCATTACTCTTAGAGTGAAAGGTAAGAGTTCAGGAAATACAATTGTAATTATGAATATGTTGTAGCTACTTATATTAATTTAGTGACTATAACACCCTCTTCAATACTCAAATTCATAAACTCTACAGTAGTACTGACCTGTACTATCAGTCTTAATACTGGGATAGGTCCTGATACATCATTCATTAGTCATTACTGGTATCAGTATAGGACTGATATTAGTAATAGGAGTACACAACTGATGATTAATAATGACAGTAAGAGTCTAGTAACAACACTGAATATTACTAGTGTTCAATTCTCTGATGCTGGAGAATATCATTGTGCAGCTAGTATTAATACTAGTAATACTGTTGTGAATAATAGATCACATCTTTGCATTCAAGGTTAGCCCTTTTCAGTAATCAAAATTTAATAAATGTTTTCATTTAGTTCCTGTCATGAATATTTCTTCTGATACTAATCTAAGACTAGGAGATATTAGAGAGTATTATTGTACATTAGGTCATAATTATTATAAATCAGAAGTTGTTGTGTCATGGCATGAACATACATCTGGTAGAGCATTTACAAATCCTCTCATATTAACAGTGGATCAGTCAATCAACAATACAGTGTATATATGTTCACTTATAGCCTACAAAAATCCATTTCATTGTCCTTTTCAACAAGTATATCTATCAGTTACAGTGAAAGGTACCCATAATTATTATCATCAAATAATTTTTATATATTCATTAACTTTTTAACAGATACATTTATAAAGACAGTATTCATCGCTGTTACTCGCCCATTAATTTTATCAAATACTTCTCACCAGTTGGAGTGTTATATTACTACTAACACTGATATTAACACTACTAACACTAATATTAGCAGTATAGTTAAAGTATCCTGGTATAGAGACAATGGTAATGAGAACAGACTAGTATCAGACAGTGAAGGAGTATCTATACTACCCATTGTGTCTATTACTGATAAATCATTTATTAGTACACTGAGGTTCAGTCCAGTAACATCATCAACTCCAGTATCAACACTTGGTAATTACACTTGTGTAGCATGGATAGG